TGGCAAAATGCTCCTGGTATTTTATATCTGAATTTATGTACTTTCAATATATTGCTTAATTTCTGGGCATATTTCAAGATTCATATATATATACACTCTTACAGACATCACTAAAAATATTCCAGGCCTTATATATATATATGCTCTTACAGACATCACAAAAAATATTCCAGGCAAACTACGGAGCTACAATGAAACCAGTTTTCAAATTTAATCTGGATTTTTACCAGTACTATGCATACACATATCTAGGTTGCTAATTAATTACTTGTATCTGGTGGTGATAGAAGGAATTTCTATTACATATCTGTTTTTCTTAGTGTCATGAAAATTGTTCTGAAGAATAATGGATAATCAAGGTTCTACTATATAAAATTTAGTAATCTTCTTACATACAGCTTTCACCCAATAATAGTTTTCAAATGGTTTCTAACAATTGAAAGCTCTTTGGCTAATTACATCAGCAGAATGTTCTGGACTTATTGCGTCTATCTTTTCCAGTGCTTATGAATTTGCTTTAAAGTTATACTTTTCCAAAAATTAACCACACATCATATTTAGAGTCTTCTTAAAATGGTTAGCTATCACTCTTAAAATTTTTGAAAGATAAAATTGTAGAAGTATGTGCTTGAGTTGTATAACTAACAGCTTTCAAAGAGTCAAACTGCACCAAGGAGAAAGCAGTCTTCAAAAGCTACCACTGTCTTCCTTGAACTACAGGTATTGCATGTATACCTCTTCAACATACACATACGAAGTAACCTGATATTTTGCTTATAATGGATTATTCTGCCTTTGGCTTGCTGAAAAAAAGCTCTTTCGAAGCATAAATCTACCACAATTAATGGATTCTAGAAAAAATATTCTTGGAAATTGTCTGAAATGCCCTTCAGTCATTTAAAGCACGATGCAAACTTATCCTCCAGGGTTCGTACACATTTCCTTACATGAAAATTAAGGACTTTAAGGGCCATCAAAGAAAAAATTAAGGACCTATCAGCAAACAAAAAAAAATGAATAGAATAAAGCAATTATCCATACAACCAACTCCATGCTTGTAATTTCACTTTAAGAAACTAACAGAAGTGTGTATTATGCACTATTATTAAATTCAATTTAATACTTCATAAAACAATTTTGAAAATTAAACTATCTCCCTACAAGTTATGAAGTAGATAACATTAAATGAGGAACATAATTCTTGAAAAACATGTATAAGTGTATTTTACACTAATAACAGTCACTATTTTAGAGATTTACATGATTATTATTTAACTTATTTGATATTTATTTAAACATAGTCAACTACTATTATAATCACAATGTAAGAATATTTTGCAGATTAAAATAACTGATTTGTAAACATACAATTTATTTCCTTGGTTTTTTGAAAGATACTAGAATAATAAACTGTACAATAAAAGATACAAAACATTTGTGCTTTTTTTAAATCTGAAATCTTCCTTTTCTTTAATTATTTCTTTCTTTAACTATTCTTCTAAGTTCATTTGCTTTGATAAACAAATCAATGTTCCTGATGGTCTCAGCTTTATCTGCTAAAGCATCTACTTCTTCATTAATGTCTTTAATGTCCCTTTGAGAAAGTTTTTCTTCTGCTTCATATAATCAATTTCTTCTTCAATAATATTTCTTTTCCTCTTTGAATTTTCAGATTTAGTTAAAGATTTTTGTTCTTCTAAATACTGAACTTCTAAATAACGAACTCCACTTCTTGCAGAAGCTGCTGCTGATCTCATTTCTTTATAATTTCGATATTAAGAACACCTCCAGAAAATTTTATGTAATCAAATACTGTGCGTTGAAAAATGTATGATGAGTCACTTAAATTTTCAATTTCAATTGCTTTATTTACAGAGAAGCCCCTTTCCACAGAGGCCTGTTCATGTGACAAGATAAGAATACTTGTCACAGTGAATACTTGAATAGTGAAAATATACATTTTTACTAATATATATATATAATTTATTTCCTAAACAATATAGATTAATTGATTATATTATCTCCTAAGTTTAATTAAAGTAGAATTATTTTAAAAGAGTGAATCCATACTGGTAAGTTATATTTTGAAAGATGTATATATATATATATATATATATAAGTCCGAGATCCGGACCGATCCGGACATCTAATATCTGGAATGATCTAAAATCTGGACCTCAAAGCCACCACCAACCAATTTTTTAGCCAAGGGGTATGCGCATTATTAGATTTTTTTCCCTCATCATAAAAAAAAATGCCAGAAATCCGATTCTTAATCTTAGTTTGGTGCTAAATAAAATATCTCATTATTGAAGAAATAATTATTTTAGCATAAATTTGTGTGATTAGTAACTTGACTCCATAGCTGCGTATCTGCTTGGCATAATCTCAAACCGAAACATTTGTTAATTTTACACCAACTAATATTTTATATCCTTGATGCCGAAATCGCGAATCATTATTTATTGTATTTTGCTTTCATCACCGCATGTTTATCAACGAATGACAACTTGAGTGATGAATCATGCAGCGATGCCAAATAACAGAGTATTATACGATTACAGATTTAAATTTAATGCGCTAAAATGTTGACAAGGGGAGATTTAGCAGAAATTTCTTTCCTTATGCTAAAAAATAGATTTTGTTAATGATACTCATAGGACAAACGATTATATTTAGTGCTATTTGAATTAAGAATAACTGATTTGTTATTCACATAAAGCCAGAACCAGCTCCAGAGCTCGCATGGCCGCACCAGGCGGCAGAATTTAGCGAAGTTAAAACAGAAGTTTTTCATTGCAATGACAATGCCCAATCATCAATCAATTAACGGAGGGCGGAATCTGTAGTATGGTTCTAAATCCAGAAAATACAGCTACCGATAGTGAAGAAAGTAAAGTAACAGAGAGGTTACTGAACGAGAAAAAATTTTTGATTGACAAGTTATTCGGAAATTCTCGACACAGCAATTACAGGACTTGAACAATGGAACTTAATAACTGAACAAGAAATTATATGTCTATAGTATTAGTCTAAAGTATTAGCAGAGAAAACAAATCAAACAACTCACATTGAAAGAAATGTTTATTAAAGTAAACATATAAATATTAAGCTCTTTTCTTTGGTAAATTTTGATACCCTTTAAATCATAAATGCTTCATTATTTCATAAATCACGATTTCATATTTTCAATTTTATAATTTCTACGTGCCATCTTAGTAGATTTAAAATGATCTAATATCCGGAAAAATCTCAAATCTAGGATCGCCGAAGTCCCGACGAGTCCAGACCTCGGACTTTGTACACTGTATAAATATATATATATATATATATATATACGGAATGTATATTTTCAGTTAAACTTCTACCCAATAACTTTAGTAATTCATGAAAGTTAATTTTGCGTCTAGTTAATTCAGGAAAATTAGTTTCAATTAGTTGTTTTCAGCTTTAAAAATATTAAAAAAAATTTTAATTAGTTATTTTCAACTAATAATTGTATCGTATTAGCCATTAGCAAAAATTATGCATTACTATCATCAACATAGTTTTAAACCAAATACTTAATTGTCTATTGAAGCTTCAAAACGTATTTCCGAACTTCACTTTTTCTCAGCTAGCGTTACCGATTTTGCCCTTGGCGACCTAAAATCGAAATGGGGCCAACAGATTTCCCGCGAGATCGATAACAGACCCTCTGCAGAAATAAAACTCATAATCCCGATATCCCATACATATTACTATATGTGCAAAAAAGAATACACTCCGTAGAATGTGATAAAAAATTAATTTATGGCTTAATTGAAACAAACACAGAAATTAAGCTAAGCAAAACCGTTGTAAAAACAAATTGAAATGATAAAACGAAACTTAATTTTCATGTGAATTTTCAGCGCTGACTCTCCCATTCTAGAAATTTCAATTTGTTTCAGACAAAGACCACATTTAGCTTTAAGGATTGCCATCCATCAATATCCAGTCTTTGTAGTCAGCTTGATGAAGCCACAGTTTATTGAAAATGCACTTTCCAGGCATCTCGTTCCTATTGGCGTCGGAAGGGTTGTGGCCTTCCAGGTTGGAATTGCTCCAACTTTGGCAAATATTTTCAGAATCCCCCCCTTTTTTTTTCTCGAGCACCTTCATCATCACTTTCGCCTCTTAAAGAACTTCCAGCTTCACGCTTTCGTCACAGTCTGCCTAAATTTATGGATAACACCTGTTTCGAAAGATTGCGGTGAATAGCCAATCAGACACCGATACTTTCGTTCGGGTAGCTAATTTTTTTTTTTGTTTTTTTTTCGTTTGCAATGCAAATCCGCCAACAGATTAGTTAAGAGCTGTGTAATTTTAATTCCATATTCATGAGAAATCGTAATTCACACTTAGAATGGCAATCATTAGAAATGATAAGAAATGTCAAATGAGCAAAATTAAGGACCGTTTATTCCTTTTGGCCAAAATTAAGGACTTTTAAGGACGTAGACCCTGATCCTCAAAAAGAGGCGATAGATGGAGATTAAATAATAAATATTATTTTAAATAAATGCTCCTGAAATGTTCTAAAATGTGTTAGAATCTTATAATAATTTATTATAGAAACTGTTAACACAGTTAAGTTAAGACTATTAAGTTATCAAGATCTACGCTTTCTGTTTTGGCAGAACTAATTCATGGTAGAAAATATTTTTTAAAATATATATATAATATACTGCCATTCTAGCAACTTTCTGTATATATGCAATGATCTGAACTGAATGGCATGACATCATTATCTATGAATGACACGGCTATTTCTTAACATTTAAATGGAAAGTACATTTTGTCTGATTATTAAAATGCCAATTTACTATGAAAAGGGATCTTTTTTAACACCTCTAATAGAGCTTTAAAAAATAAACTTTTTACTTTGGAATTTATATGGATTTTACTGTATGATTTTAAAAATATCATTCAAAATGACATTATAGAAAAGTAACTGACAATCGATCAGAAGATCTTACCACGCTTGCAGCACTCAGAGCCTTGCGGGGATCTTCTACTCGAGCAGCAGCAGCCACACGTCCCTCGAAAGCAGTTCTTGGGTCAGAATTGGCCCCAGTTCTCATTCTGTCAAATGAAGAACCTCGACTGCCAGCACTATCTGAACCTTGCATGTTTCTAAACCTTGGGTCAAATGGCCGATTATTGACTAAAGTCCTATAATCCTGATCAGCAGCAGATTGTCTAATGTCTTTGTCACCACTCAAAATTGGTAGTTGGCGCATGTCTCTGTCACCAAGAGGCAGCTGCCTCATATCTCTGTCACCCATAATACGCATATCTAAAGAAGAAACGATTAAAACAGCTCAATATTTATGTACACTGTGACAATAAAAGTATATAAAAAAATCAAGTTATAGAATTTTATATAACTGAATTCAAAATGTTAAAAAATTAGTTATTACAATTTTCATTGTCATTATGTGTCTAAAAATAAAATTCAGTGAGCGCTAACAATGACAAATTTTAAATTATAACTCTCAAAAGAATTTAATCCATTGTCATTATGAGACTGAAAATTCTGTGAGTGCTAACTATAACCAGTTTTAAATCATAATTCTTAAGAGAATTTAAATGAATTGAATATAATCATTCTTACTACATTCACCAATTCCATTCTATGACTTTTATAATTCCTTAAACCCTTCGCGCCGACTGTCATGTCTACGTGCCAGCAACGAACACACTCA